ATGTTCCTGCACCAAATACGCGACGGCGAACGACATCATTGCTCACGCGATATACTCACCAGGAGTGAGCTAAACTGCGAAGGCAGCGGCGATCGAGCGTAACTAGTCCCTTTAGGTTTGTCGATCTGATGAGCCATATCGCAAGTGTCCAAAAGCCTTGAATGCACGGCTGGGCGGTAAAAGTTGCCTTTCAGAATGAGAGTGATGTCGTGCCGGCGCTACCGGTGGAGAGGATGGGCGGAAGCACCTCGAACTTTCGCTACACAGTTCACAATATCATCCACCATGCCACAGGTGCTAATATACCTGTCCAGACATTTGAATTTCCGGATGAGTTCTAGCTGATCACCACCAGAGGTTAGTCTTTGCTAACCTTGGAGAAGAACTCGCATTTTAAGGGTGCGTAGCACAGCCCGAAACGATTGACACCCAGTACTAACCAGTCTAGCGCTGATTGGCACGTTTAAGAGCTATCACAGATTAGGCCAATGTCGTCAGCATAATCCAAGGCAAGAAGTTGGTCACCTTTCCAAATCGTGCCCGGCGAGCGCCGTTTCCTTGACTTCGTCGGTGATTTGTAAATCATCCAGGAGGGCTAGTCCTTCAAATTTGAAAAGGGTTGGAAGAATTCAATGTGCTCCTGCGGCTTTATTTAATTGACCGGTCCCAAAATGTTACCGACCATCTTAAGCTCGAAGGACAATGTGGTTTATGAAGCCGACCGCATCCAACGCTGAGCACTCACCTTTCTGAGCTATGATTTTGAGATTCCCTACCAATGGATTATTTCCCTGGGTCAAGCGGATGCACTGTCACCCTCCACTACTTCTCACTAACAAGACAAAGAAGATGCGATCACAGACATAGTTGTACAGGAGAAAAACCATCGAAAGCCTGATCAATTCGTTCAACTAGCAATTGTCTGACTGTGAGGGCAATGGTTGCATTCATGACTAAATTGGTGTGCAGTCTAATGGTGCCATCAGTGCGTCGGGGCAGACTGAAATCTAAGAGCACTGTCACGTCAAGTCAAGTCAAGAATTCGTTTTTATGCACCCATGAAGGATGAATTCTCAGCTGGAGCACACACGCGATCGAAACGGTAAAGCGAACAAAATGTAACCTTAACTATAAGGCAGTATGATTGCCTTTAATAACAAAAGCTTACATGTTTGTTGGAAGCCAGTCATGAGGCCATAACAGCTAGTGTGGTGATGGCAATACGGCGCCCATCGACCGGTCATCACATACGGCCAGGCTGGTTTTCTCAATTGTTAGCACAGCGACCCACTAATCACATCGCAGTAAACACTTCTGCTGGCTTTTCACCTGCGTGAAGGCCGACTACCGATCGATGCGGCTGTGGTGTCTAGCTCACGTCTAGTTCTCACAGCCGAACGGCTTGCGGTGCGTTGGTCTTGCCCTGCGGTCGAGGCATGACGCATTCATTGCGGCTGTGGTGTCTGCTAACGTTCAGTTCTCACAGCCGAACGGCTCGGTGTACTTTGCGATCGTAGGCACACATGTCGCGTCCCTGTCCCATATCACCCCTGCCGGCAAAGCAATTTGCGTCATTGGACAGTTAGCAATTCAGCGTACCAGTGTACGTCAGCACCTGAGTGCAGCCGCTCTTAGCTCTGAACCAGATTAACACGCTGTAATACATGGCTTGACATTTACCGCAGAATCGGTACGAAATGAAACGCTTTATAGCCCGCTACTCAAAGGCCAGACATTTGCACGGAAACGATTTGGCCAAGTTCATGTTCATCAGTCGGATGGCAGCAGGAGACGTTCACTCCTCATTACAGATAGCTTCATAATATTTCCAGAAAGAATTGTTATCCCAAAAGCCTTATAAGAGCGCGTACTTTGGCAGTCCCATGCAGGACATCCTGGGATCGACCGAGTGAAAGTGCATGCTTACAGGTATGTGTACTGACCATTCATGGACAAACTGGAGTAGCTAGCCGAACGCTGTCAAAAGTAAACAAAGGATCAAAAATTGCCAAAAATAGCTCAGCATTATTCATGACCAATGCCCACGGAACCGAAGTGCCGTATTTAGGTTGACTTCACGGGACCCCTCAAGAACCAAAGCTACCTCAATGCATGTGTAATCAAGTGATAATTTTATCGTAAAAACTTGATGAGGCATCAAAACGAGATATCCTTGCAAAAAATGATACCAATTAGCACATGGGAGTTGAAGTATGATACAGGTGAGAATTCAAGAACAGGGAGCACCGTAGACAGATTTGAAAAATAGGGAAAGTAAGTAAGGTGCTATGCGCGTGAATTAGCTGGTCGGTTACAGAAGATCCATTGCTGTAATGCGGCATTGCTATTGCTCTGATCAGTCAGCATAGAAAACAACTGGTCAGTAGGGAAACAGGCAGGATGATTGTGCCCTGGCGCTAGCATCACAAAATTGCACTTTGGTAATGTGGAACAGTTTGCATAGAAACGTTAAGCGGAAACAGTGCGCCGATCTTACCTAGACCGTACTAATTAGTACCGTAAGTGTCATTCAAAAGCAAGTCACATACAAAATCCGAGGAGCCCAATATTAGGCTGCCTTCACGGACTTCTAGATGATACTAGCATAAAACTATCCATGACTGAGTCGGTATACTCCGGAACAACTAGTCTACACTCACATGTCTTTCAGTCAGCAGAATATGGAGCAGCGAATATGGATTATGATTACTCGGTTGTATGTTGGTGGTGTATAGACTCGATCAATTAGGTGGGTAGGCTTGGAAACTGATACCGCTATCCAGAACGTCGGATGACAGGCGAAACGTATAAAAACGCTCACTTAAATGCCAACACAAACACATGTGCATTGGAAACAATCGGTCCCAGTACTGAGTTTGTTGCACACACGCACATACACACACAAACTCGGAAACCGCAGTTCAGTTTATCATCAGCTGGACGTTTTTCGTCGGTTCACCTAACCAACCGAGCAGTGCCATGAGTACACCGGTACCGGGACCGATGCTTCGTAGCCATGCAACCGGTTGTAGGCGAGTTGGGATAATGTCAGCGGCGCACATCATACCTTGATGGCAGATAGTGGTGATGAAGGGCTAAACAGCAATGGATTGACCTGCATGCAAAACTTGGATTCGGAGTAGGACGGAGAATCAACGCGACATGCATGAGGCTAGGGCAGCGGGGCGCGCAACAGGAACATTTACAACTATCACAAGTAATATGATATGATAATAATAGGATATGAGTAAAGCAGCACTCACTTTTAAAATAGCCGGTATGGTAAACACTCGTTTGGAACTTCGAGAAAGAGAATGGTTGTAAAACCGTTTGGAAGATGCAGTGGCATTTGCGTGCTCAGCGTGTTCGGAATCTGAATAGTAAATCGAAACGAATTCGTACACTAGGGGACTTCCGGAGTGTAACATACACAACAGTATCGCTATGACCACTGGTCAAGCGGAACTACAGTAAGGCATCAACATTATTTACTAGGATAAAACCAAGAATTAGGAACATGAGACCAACTTCATTAACATGCCTACCCTTTGCAGACAGTGTGCGCTTGCAAACAACTCGCCATGAAGCAAAAACGTTTTTTGGCGGTCGTCAGTCAAATTCAAGGGAAGTTGTTACACCTACCCGGTGTGCAAATGGCGCGAAAATGAACGAATTCAAGAAGTCGGTCGGGGTGACGAATGCCCCGAAAAGAACTGTGGTCTAATGAGCCGCAAATAAGAAAAACGAATGAACACGAATCGTTCAACACTACATTACACGCCAGGATTCAGTGTCAATCGTTGACATAGATGGCATCCGGAAAACAGTGGGCTCCTTGTGTGTTAGATTTAGCAGGTGTTAGCCGTGCATGTGTTTATATGCCGGGTACAGTTGGCCATTAGGGGGGACACTGTGTCTACCGGTGAGATGTGACAGGGGTTGCGTGCGAAAAGTTCTGGAACGGGCAGGAAAGGCTATCAGAAATAACTTGCTGAGATGGTCGAGGAGTAGACGGACTAGAGCAGCCAAGCGGTCGAAACTTGACGTAGGGTTAAAAACCGCGCCAATCCGAGCAGCTGCGATAAATGTACTGGTTACTAACGCTACACGACAGCATTATTCGAAAAAAGGAACTTATTAGAGGGAAGGTAGATTCAGATACCCTTAATTCGTAACTGCATACTCTTATTTTCTGCGCCCATGCTGCTGCATTGGTTTTAGCATATTATTTTAGCAGCTTGATAGGTATGTAGGATTAACTGGTTTTAGATGATTAGTATCCCGGATTTAAAGTCATCCTAACCATTTGCGGATTACATCCAATTGGCGATTAAATTGGCCAGGGCATATTGGTGTGTGCAATCCAGTGTTCTTGATATTTTAGGTTAGCCTCCAAGCTAGTGTAACCTTTGGCAGTTTTATCTCAGTAACGTACCAGATGGTTACGTGAAAAGCATAGTTTCTACTGTAAAATATCCCGCGTCAGCTCGTGCCCGTTGTTAACGTTATTGAAGTAATATTAAGCAGAAATTTAAAAGATTCTAAGATGATGGACATGCGCCGCACTGCCGCTCACTGAGATTCACTGCAACCAAGAAAGGTGGATAAAGCCCGAAGGCGCAGTGGTTTAAAGTGGAGCATCCTTTGACACAAAATACATGATACGATGAAAGGGCCAATGTGGGCGAAGGGTGTCCAGAAAAATCCTGAAAGATCGAATGAAGATGCATCGAACGACAGAATTTTGTGATAATACGGGTGAAAGTAATCGCCATATGAATGTAATCTCAACAGTTAAAACCACGCACACTAGTATGGTGCAAGAAGGAAGTCTACCCATCACCAATGCAGATGATGGAACAATAGACCAATACCAATAATTCCCTTTCCTGACGAGTTAAGCCGTGCTCAATGTAAGCGTGAACTAGCCATGCACAGTGGGAGTTATTGAGTGAAAGCTTGGCGGAACCTGCTCGTCTCGCGCATGGCCAGGGGAACGAAGCATTTATCAGATCGGCGACAGACAGCTAAGCTATCAGGGACCAAAGGTCACTCGATAGACATCCGATGAACGAACTGCTTTGATTGAATCAGAGACATCAGTTGGATAACAGGGACAAAGAGCTCCCCAACCAATATACGCGAGACCGAAAAACCAGACGTCAATTACTGGAGCGGTGGAAATGGCAAGGTCAATAGTTATGTGGACGAAATGGACTGGGCATGGATGTCATATGCGTGACGGACTGTGTCAACCCAGCCAGATTAAACAACGTCAGTAGACGGACAGTAATTGATGAGCGAACGTCAAATAAGCATCATCCGTAACAGTAGCAACAAGAAAGAAAGTAATATGTGTAAGTGCCACGTGTTACCGACTACCTGAACTCTCCACGATTCTTTGACCACCTGAACTGTATCGTTTCTCGTGATAATCATCTTAATTCGCTATAAAAGCTACGCTCTTGAGTAAACAGTGAACTGTTGCCACAATACAAGACCCATTTAAATCCGAAACTTTCCGAACTCCCAGATATTCGTACATGCGTAGTTCGTATGAATTAATACCGACGGATAGTGAATAGGTAATGCATGAGCGCATCGGTATGGGCTATGGCCAATCGAATGAGTGGTCCCCGAGGCCGAGAAAAGTTTGCGTTAGTGGGAACGCAAAGACAAATGAAGAAGCCCGTGAAGCTGCTACAAGTGCAACAGATGGAACTAGATTGCTTCCGTTATCAAATATTTGTGTTTGTTCTAATTCTGCAAAACTGAGAGACACGAGAACAAAGCGCATAGGCATTTGAATGCATTTATGTGGACCTGTGTGAAGCCAGTCACATACAGCCTTAACGAGCGTAACATGAACCTGTGCGTGTTTTCGACTGTGTCGAATAAAGCAATTGCGAGAACGGACAACTACCGGTGGGTTGTGATGAGCCGGTACTGTGTCAGTGCGAGGACTGAGGTTGGAAACCCGCTTGCAAAATATGAGCTCCGTGCTTACTCTGCGATCCCCACATGCGGCACTGGAGGCATATTCTCATTGAGCCTGCATGAAGATGAGGCAGCTTCAAATGCCGGTCAAGCTGGCATCAGCATTGTTTCGAGTCCCTGGGCTGCGTTAATCGATTGAATCCCACTCAACAGCCTGATGTGTGCCGTTAGATTGGCTGGCTTGTTCCAGGCTTCCAAGTCGAGCGGGGACAAACGGTGCCTGTTTGTCATTGCGGCCAAGACGCCTACAAATTGTAGCACTGATTCGGTGAAAGATGAATTCTAGCACCAACTAAATGCGCTCCTCCGTTATAGAAAAAGTACGGATACTGTGAACCTTGCTGGTGAACTGAACGCTCAAGTCGGAAACTTGTTCTCTGATGAGCTGCATCTGGGCGGCCAACATGGTGTAGGCTCCGTAATAATAACGGTGAGCAGTTGCTACGCCTGTGTGAAGAAGCTCGCCTCCTTCTCTGGGGCATTAATTTTCGACACATCACATGCAGAAGAGTGATTTGGCGCCCAGCCATGTACGCAAATCGATCACATCGCGATCAGTTACCGCTGGAGAGGTTGTATTCAAAACTGTCGCTCGATTTAGAGAACGACCGTGGGCTCCGAGCACACTCTTCTGCGTGCTGACCTTCAGATGCGTTTCGGCGGACGTCCGCAACGTCCCTGTGCGCGCATAGACACCAGCCAACTGGCGAAGCCAGGGGTTCTGAATGCGTATCAAAGTATGCTGGCATCCGAGCTGAGTAAGCGCCCACTGTACACCGTTGAAGATCCCTAGCTGCATATTCATCAAACGTTACTATCAGCAGCCATGTCTTCATGTGGCAAATCGAATTGCCAACCTGGACATTGGGTCTCTATACAGTCTCTGAAAATTATGGATGCTCGCCCACGGCTGGAAACGAATACAATGAGACTCGCAAGTATCAGGGCAGAACTGCGTGCTAGCCTAAGGGGAGACCACGAAGCCTGGTGGTCTCATCGTGCATCAGAGATGGAGACAGCCGCTGTCATTGGTAATCATCGGAAGCTATTCCGTCTGATACGGGAAACGGGCAGCAGGAGACCTCGTGTTAGCGAGACCATACGTGACGGGAGTGGGCAGCCGATCCACAGCTAGTCAAAAGGCTTGGATAGTTAGGCCGAACACTTTAAGGAGCAGTTCAATCAGTCTGTTGTCGGCTTCTTCAGTGGCCATTGATCGTCCTACTCCCTGGGCCGTCCCCGTGGATCCGCCCTCACATACAGAAATCGAACGTGAGATCAGATGGTTGAAATTGAATAACGCCGCAGAGGCAGATGGAATTCCTCTAGTCCATTTCAAATCGTGGGGACCTGCTCTTGTAGATGATTTACACGAAGTACCAGTGAAACTGGGAGTAGAAAACTGTCCCGACAGACTGGAGTCGCGCCGTGGAAGTCCAAATTTTCAAGGGAAGCACCCGTTCGGAATACGGCAATCATAGAGGGATCAGTCTGATCACAATTGCCTCTAGATTGCTTGCATCTGTCGTTCTCCACAGACTGACTGGCACTCATGGAAGTCAGATTTGCGAGGAGCAAGCCAGATTTCGTCGAGGTCCGGGCTACATCGATCACCTTTTCACTTTGCGTCAATTGTTTGAGTATTAAGTTTATTGGCGACCGTCGTAGTCGTGTTTCTCGACATCAAAGGCACCTTCAATTCGGTTGATCAATGTGCCCTTTGGGACTGTCTGCTCAAGAAAGGTGCACCCGAAAAATACGTAAGCATCACAGAGCGCTGTACACGCATACTTGGAGCAAACTTTCGTCACCCTGCGATATCTCCAACAGTGGTAGACAAGGTTGTCCGCTACCACCTTTCCTCTTCAACTTCGTCATTGATGAAGTCATGGAAGCAGCGTTCACTAGACACGACTTATAAGGTGGAGCTGCTTTCTGGTGAGCGTCTTCTTGACTTGGAGTATCCTGACGACATTGCCCTCAAATGTGACAGCGCACAGACGTAGCAAGCAGCACTGGACAGATTAACACTGGCTGTCAATTGTTTTGCGCTATGCTTTGCTCCGAAATGCAAATTCCTCCAAGGTTGGCAGGAGCACACTCTTGCGCTGACCCTTGGTGGCGATCAGCTAGAAGTCGTTCAGGAATTTAAGCTCCTGGGCAGTTATAGTAGCGACCGTGGGATCGAAGAGGTTACGAACAGTATAGCGAAAACTCGAGGTACTTCTGCCAATCTCCGCCATCTGTGGCACCGACGCGACATCAATCTATCCCCGAAGAGCAGAGTTTACAATGCAGCCGTCCGTTCAACCTTCCTATACGGTTGTGAAAGTTGACCCATCAGATCGACCATCGCTGCTTTCGCAGTATAGCTCA